GCGGAATTAAAGGACCAGCCGGGGGAGCCGGGCCTGGGCGAGCGGCGGCGGGAGGAAGCGGCGGCCGCGCCGCGCCGGGCGGAGGGAGCGGCTCTGGGCGCGGCCCCGGCCATCGATCCGTGCCACTTCCCCTAATGGCCCGTCTCTTCCTCCTCCTCCCCCTCCCCTAGGGCGGATCGTCCCCCGGCCTCCCTGTATGTGAGAGACGGGGCCGGCGTCTCGGACGGAGCCGGGCCGCGGGAGGGCTGAGCCGGCAGCCGCCGCGGGAGGAGCGGAGGCTTCGGGGAGCGCTTCCTTCCCACCGCCCGCACCGCCGTGCGCGGCAGCCCCAGCATGGAAGCCATCGCCAAGTACGACTTCAAAGCCACCGCGGATGACGAGCTGAGCTTCAAACGGGGGGATATCCTTAAGGTAAGTGGCGGGTAAGGGCCCGGGAGTGTTCCCTCTCTGGCCCTGGGCTTTTCAGCTTCTCTCCGGAGCCTCTTCCTGTCCGTCAGACCTGACCCTCTCTTGCGTCCCCAGAGAACGCCATCTCCTTTTAACAGGGTACCTCAAGATTTCCTCAATCCCAGTCTGACCTCTTTAAGAGCAGGAGAGGCTGTTTCGTTTCTGTGTTAAGCGTGCATCCCAAAGTCTCTCATTTCTGTCTTCTGAGGCTGGAATATTTGAAAACTTAAGTCGTAAATGTGGTAGCAAATAAGCAGAAGTACAAGATCATCTCTGCACTGAATTCCCCTCTAGGAGAGGAAACCCCTTAAAGTAATCAAGATCAATTTGATATTCCTTTCCTTTGCCTCCTGCCAAGGATTCCAGTATCAAAGAACAGTGATTAGATTATTTCTCAGTAGATAATCTTTTAGCATCAGGCTGTCAAATATTGGTGCTGAGTTTTATCTTCAGTCCTGATGAACTCGAGTGATAAGCTTGTGGCTGAATATTTAATGGATCTGTGCAGATGTAAGTAGATGGTGGAGTGCATTAGAGGAATCTGGTCTATGGTTCTTTCAATATATCAAAGGCTGTTTAGACTTCATCTTGGCTATGTTAAAGGAATTTTAAAAATATTTTAATTTCTAAAACTTTATTTAAAAAAAAAACAACAACTGGGCACACAGAACAAGCCCAAAATTTTATTTTGGGAGAAGTAAAATATAAAAAGCCATAGTGATTTGGCCTCAGTGAAGCACATCTCTGAGCATTGTTGCTTCCAAGTAAAAAGAGCTGTATTGTGGAAAGTTTTAATGGGGTTTCATTCAGAGTCAGTATTTCTCCATAATCGTACAAGATGGGCTTTACCTTCCTAGCGTGATGTGTTTACTATTGAAGTATTTTAAGCTGCTGCTTTCTAAAATATTTTGAGTAGAAACTGTTTTGAGAGGTACCTATTCTGCAGATGTAAGGCTGTAACTTTGTGTATGCTGACAAATCAAGTCCTGCAGACCTCAATGGGATTACTCATCTGCTTAAAATTTTTGCCAGGGAAGGGCTTGATTTCAACTACTGTTCTAAGATAAGTTGGAAGAAACAACCTCTACGTGTAAACTTAATATGCATCTTTCATAGCTGATATTTCAATAACATAACTGTGGCTTTGTTAAAAGTGCCTTAATACTGTGTGGCCATCAGCGGATAAAGGTTGCAAAAATGTATCCTGCTTTGAGATTGTTAACTTTTAAAATAAGTGCATCTGTATATATCCTACACATCCCTGGCCCACAATTGGCCTAAAAATGCCTGTTAGACCTGTATACCTCAATTCCAGTGTTTATATAAATTACCAGAATATTTCCTTTTGCTGGTTTTAAACATTTGAGACTGTCAGAATTTTAGAAGTTTTCTGTGATAACCTCATTTATTTTTCTTAACCTGAGCTTCTATTTTGGGTTACTACTAGCTACCCTCAGCTTTTATGGTGTATTTGGAGTACAGCTGAAGTCAGCTTGTAGAAAATGATGAACAGAAAGGAAAAATTAAGTGTAGTGAAATATAGTTTATTTTAAAGTGTATTCTTAATTTCATCTAGTTTGGTATAGAAGTTCACTGAAGTACATGAAAAAAAGTCTTGTAAAATTTACATTCATGTAAAAATACGTTCTCTAAGAATTAAAGGAAAAATAACTTTTTTTTTTTAGACTTTTGAAAGTTTAGTCTGTGCTAAAACTCTTACAACTGTGCACAGTGGCTGATAGTAAGATATTCTTGAGTTGTAGCCACTTGGTGTCATCCCATAGATACAAATTTTGTTACAAAAATAGAAACATGGTGGTATGTATGCTGTTACACTAGTTAATAATTGTATTTTTCCTAGAATACAGAGAGGGATTTTCCTACTCTTCATAAAACCTAGGCTGAACACTTCCTCAAAGCGTTGATGAACAGTTCTACAAACTGTATTTCCTTTCAGCTCATATTCTGAAAATGCTTACAAATGTTACGTATTTACTTCATAGATGAGTAAACTAAGTTATAGAAATAGTAAATTGCTCAAGATTATCACTAAAGTTAGTGAGAACTCCAAGGCTTTCGGGAATCCTTCTTCAGCACATAGTTGAGATGAGTTCTGTGTAGCATGGTAAGGTTCACTGTCTAAAGCTGGCAAATTTCAGACAAATAAGCCAAAACCAATTAGAATTGTTACAATTCACTTTACTCAAACTGACAAACTTCTGTAGTGCTTTGTCACTTTGAAAGTCAGGTTCACTTCAAATGTGTTTCAGGTTGTGGAAATTAATTTCCATCAGACATGCCTGATCTGTTTTGTTAGTACTTTGCTCATGACTGAGGAATCTCAGGGTATCCCATTCATGTGCCTCGTGTGATCCGTCTTATTAATCAGGTCAATCCTGCTGCCCTTGAACGAATAGGAAAGAGAAATAAACTTGTAATATGTTGAATGCACCTGCATGCTTCGCTCTTTAGATAACCCTTGCTGAGGCGCACATGTAATTTGACATGTAGTGAAGACTTCTTTAAATCTAGCTATTAGACACCTGTCTTGATGCACCTCCAGAGAGTTGAGTTAGTTTGATGGCATATAAGATGATGGCAAAGCATTGCTTTGTAGCAAAATGTTGTGCCTTGACCTAACTTTCACGCTAAGGAAAGAACAAAATCTCTAATGCTTTAATTCCCACTCCTTGGAAGTTCACATTTCTCTTTGTGGGGAGAGAAGGCAAAGATGCACACTGTCTGACTCCCTCTGATTTCAGCAGATAACTTGCCTATGATGTCATGGTGCCATTACTGCTGCATACCCACATATTCGGGACTTGATTGAATAGCATTTGAACTGTAGCCATTAAGCTGGTTGTTAGTAATCTTGTGGCTGGTTTCCAAAAGTGAGTGAAGATAGTTGACCTTTGGCTTGCAATTGTAAAACAGCTGAGTGAAGAGGAAAAGTGCTTGGCCTTTTCTTTTGTGGGCGCTATATGGTAAAAGCTGCTTCTATGATTTTTGTAACCCTGGCAGTAGACTGGATCCCGTTACCCTTTTGTCTAGTGGTTCTGTAACAGTGTGTGGTATTGCCATTCAAGAGATGCAAATGGACAGCTTTCTTTAAACTTCTTAAATATGCTAAATGCTACTTACCGAGCATTTTCCAAAGAAAGGAAAGGTTGCTGCTTCCTTCTGTGTCTTCTGACTACAGTACAGTGCTGTAGCTCTCAAGATCGCCATTCTTTTCACGTACAGGTGGTTGCTTCACAAAAGCTCATTGGTGACTGGCATTCTATTGGGGGTATGTGAAGATAGCCTGTCCTGTTATTCAAAAAAGGAAACTGAGGGAATCCTATTTATTTACTGTTTTTCACTTTGAATAGTTGATGGTTGCCATGATGCTTTTTCAGTCTTTTCCCCTTTCACTTGCTGTATTTATTGAAGTTGGGACTAGTTAACTTCAGTCTCTGTCTATATTTGTTGTTCAGGTTTTATGTCCCCAAAAACTATTGTATTTCTAGCAGCTTCTGGTTTTGTTGGCCTTTGTGCTAACTGGCAAGTATCCAGACCTAAAGTGTGCTGATACTTGCTGGTGGTTTGGCAGGAGTGCTGGAGGAGCGGGGGGCGGGGAGAGAAGAAAAATCATAATTCTTTCACTCATCTCCTCATCATTTCTTTTCTTTATTCCTCCTACACCTAATCTGAAGTGTACAGTTAATACCATTGTGCTCTGATAATCATTTCTGCATGGTTAATACAGAAGCGCTGAACATATTCATGAATATCTTGAATATTAGAATTGTGGGGTTTTTTAAAAAAGACTATAGACCACTGCTCCATTTCCTCTTTCTCCTTCTTCTGTTGTAGCGTTGGGGCATAGCCAGGAAGTGATATTCTGAAGAACTGATTAAGTTCCTGTTCCCAGTAGTTATCAGCATAATTAATTCAGGGGCACTTACAGATTGGTTTTATGAGTAAAATTACTCAGGTGGAGCTCTATGTAGAGGGCCATCATCTTTAATTTTGGGGTTTTCACTTTTGTTTGCCACACAAACCAGCTTCCCTATATGCTAAAAGGAGGAATTCCTTGATAGGATTTTGATCACTTGACAATTTTGTTCAGCAAAGTCAAGATTTTTTTCTTTTCCTACTCTGATCATACACTTGGCAGTCACTGCAGGTTCTGTTCACATGATTGTTTGCCACCAGACTTATTTTCTGTCAGCCTTTAAGAGGATTGAGCGTTTGCAAACAGTTGATGCTGAGATGGCATTTTCGGTTCCTGCATGAAAACCATTTTTCTGTGTCTGGATCCAGTGAAACAGTTTTGAATAGAGGGAGGAGTATGATAAACAAGGGGAGCATGGTCTCCCTTTTCTTCTTCCACATCCCTTGTCTTTGACCTCACCTGCATTGGCTGTTATGTCATGGTGTCTGTGCTAGAGAACAGAAATTCATTGCTTGCTGAAGAGTAGTGCAAAGACTTTTTCTCTATTTTGGGTGAATCTGTCTTCACTCTCATCCTTCCTTCTTCTCCCTTCCTTACACACCCCCTTCATCTTTCCCCATTTTTTTGTAAGGGGGTAGACTCAGTGTGGTCTTGATGATTTTAATACATGAGAAACAGTTTTCTGAATTAATGATTCAGGCAAATTGCAAGCACTGTGTGTTTTATAGTGAAATAGGTCAAATATTAGAACAGGTTGCCCAGAGAAGTTGTGGAATCCCCATGCTTGGAGGTACCCAGACAAGTCCCTGAGCACTCTGATCTAATTAGACTTGTTTTGAGCAGGAGGGTGGGTTGGGTGACTTCGGAGGCCCTTCCAACCTATGTTATTCTGTGACTTAGCTGTGAGTGGCAGCTCTGTTGTATGCGATGGTTGATTTGTAAAGGTACGCTTAGGTCATGTTTCTTGGCTGGCAGCCTTGAATGAAGATGATATTTGTCATCAATGTGTGATCAATATAGCAGTCTA